GAACTCAACTAGGCCATTTTCAAGGTCACCGACACCTCTAAGATCCCAGGATATTTGCCCTCTGAAAGCACAGAAGCCACCTCATTCACTAATTATTTCACTCGTTCATTCATCCTAAAGAGGTCTTTCAAGCACATCTGAAGTATAGAGCCAGCATCACGTTCTGGAGATACTGTCATGACAAAGATGCTGCCCTTTCCCTGGAGAAGCCCATGGCCAAGTTGAGAAACAGAGTTGAATTATGAGATGCAAAGAAGTCCATCTAATAATAGAAGTAACTGGCTTTACCTGGGGATGCAGTGGGGTGAGGGAGAGTGAACAGAGAAGATTCCACAAAGAAGATGCTTACACTGAGTTTTGAAGGATATGTAGGAGTTTGTCAGATGGACTCAGGTGGAAGGGAATTTCAGGCAAAGGGAACAGCATGTGAAAAGTCTTATAAAGTTTAAACACCTTATAACTGGCAATATAGATATAAGGACAAGAATTGAGGCTGCAGGGGCATTTGGGGTGAAGTCGTTAAGGACGTTGCACTAAAGAGTTTGAAATGTATCCTGAAGGCCATGGCAAGAGGAGTCACTGGGTCCTATTCACATTTTGGAAAGATCTCTCTGACTACAGTGGAGAATGGATTGGAGGGGACAAACCCAAAACAAAAGAAACCAATGAGGAGACTCATAGGGAAGTATTTTAAAGTCACTATTTGCAAAAATTATGGCTGCATAGCAGCATCAGCTGGGGAGCTTTAAACACTACCAATGCCTGTGCCCCACCCCAGAGAGTCTGACTTCATTGGTCTTGGGGGGGACCTTGGCTTTTGGAGTCGTAAAGCCTCCCCAGGTGATTCTAATGTGCAGTCATAAAGAGACCTTAAGATAAAGGTAACCCAAACCCTGGCACATGGCAAGTACTCAACACAATTCTTTTTTCAAAAAATCAGTATGAAAACAGTCATGCTGTCCTGCTTTTGGCTTCACCCCACTTTCAGGGGGACATGTTTGGATGAACAATTGGCTTTTATCACAGAGGGTTTCAGGTACAAAATCCACCCTCAGTAGATCATCTTCAACATCCAGAAATCCAGTGCTAACATTGAAAGCAGCAACCTCCCTTCACATATAGAGAACAGACCTGGCAAGTTGCCTGGAGGAGCTGGAGCTACCTGGCTGAGATAGAGGAGGAGGCTAGGGCTGGAATCTGAGTTCTAAGAGTTACCTGCAGTAGCTAGAAGCATCTTCCACCTAGAGATGGCCTAAATTGGTGGCAGGATGGATGTAAGGTTTGGTAGAATGAGGAGCAAGAAGAGAAACAGGAAAAGGAGAAAGAGAACAAGGGAGAAAAGTGAGACATAAGCCCCACATTTGTAAAATGAGCACTTACCTATCCTTATAACATTTTTGCCCTACTCAGATTTAGGTCAGAGATTGATGCCCAAAGCTTAGCACCTGTTTTGATTCTCTTCCAGGATGTTTGTCTAAGGACATTGGACATAGAAAGAACAAAATTATGACCCATTAATAGCTAGGAAGGCACTTTATTACCACAATCTAAAACCTAAGAAAAGCTAAAGTTGTAGAGCATGGCTCAGCCTGAGAAGCCCAGGCAAAGAACTCCTTCCTGTACCCTCTAATGAATCTGAAGTTGCTAGGTAGCAGAATGAGCACGAATTCCACCTACTCAACCACTGCATGGATGAGGATCATAGTCATGCTTCTATAATAAAGGTCAGCAAGCTATAGCCATAGGCTAAATCTAGCCCAACACCTATCTATCTATCTATCTATCTATCTGTCTGTCTGTCTGTCTGTCTGTCTATCTATCTAATTATTTATTGGGACAAAGTCTCACTGTTGCCCAGGCTAGAGTGCAGTGACGTGATCTTGGCTCACTACAACCTCCACCTCCTGGGTTCAAGCAATTCTTTTGCCTCCGCTTCCTGAGTAGCTGGGACTACAGGCATTTGTCACCATGCCCGGCTAATTTTTGTATTTTTAGTACAGACGGGGTTTCTCCATATTGGCCAGGCTGGTCTTCAACTGCTGACCTTGTGATCTGCCCACCTCAGCCTCCCAAAGTGCTGGGATTACAGGCATGAGCCACTGCACCCGGTACCAACACCAATTTTTGTAAATAAAGATGTATTGGAACACAGCCATGGCCATTTGTTTGCTTTTTATCTGTGACTGTTTTCACTCTACAACAGTAGAGTTGAATATGAGTTTGAGTTGTTGCAACAGAGTCCACACAACTCACAAAGCCCAAACTGCTTTCTAGTTTGCCCATTACAGAAAAAGCATTCCAACTCCCACTCTAGGAAAAGACTCACTCAGGTTGATTTAACACTTGACAGACCCGATGCAAGACAGGTGGAACTGTGCGTGAGCACTGGCCTGTTCAGAACCTGCCAATAAAACAGGGCTTATTGAGGGGCTGAATTTCGGATCAACCTGGATACAGGTTCTTCCTTGCTTAGGATGGACCTAGTAAGGAATAGATGGGCAAAGGCAAGGCTGGTGTATTAAGATGAATGGTGGGTTCTCCTGCACTGCTGACAGAGAGCTGTGTAGACTGAAGGTGTTACAAATTCAGTCTCAGAAGCAATGCACGGGCATGAGCAGGATGTTCAGCCTATACTACTAAAGGTAGGGTAGAGACAGTAATCAAAACACGGTCTGATCATCATGCTTCTGCAGCTTTTCTGTAGCTGTTTCCACGCCCTTAACTGTCCATCCTCCCTCTCTATGAAATAACTGACTGTACCCGTCCCTGTATTTCCATACCACTTGGCTCATAACTCTTGCAAATTGTCTCATGTTTGTTGACTTGTCTGTCTTATCGGTGGTTGCCATCCTCTTAAACTGACTGATGACTTTTCTCTCCTCCCTACCCCTAAGCTCTGGGTGTCTGTGTCCAACTGCCTATTGAACATCAGCTTGGATAGTCTAATAGGCATCTCAAATGTGGCTGCCATTATTTGTTATTTTGAACATATTTTTTAAAAAGTATGCAGTATTCAATGCTGGGCACTCTTCTAAGCACTTTACCCAAAAATACAACACTTAATTCTTACCTCCCCAATCCTGTTTCTAACCCAGGCTTCTCCATCTCAATAAACAACATCTCTCTCCACTCAGTTCTTCAACGATCTAAGGGTCAGCCTTCATTCCTCCCTTTCCTTCACAGTCGGCATCTATGGCAGATGTGTTGGTGCCCTGCACACATCCACTCTACACTCACTGTTCCCATGCATGCCCACCTGATGGTTTCCTCCTGTAAGCACCTGTGACTTTTTGCCTGAGGGCTTCTTCAAGACAGAAGAATATGCACACTCTGCCCATAAAGCATGGAAGAAGTGCTGCGGAGTTTCCAAGAGTTGTCCTCAACCAACACTGGATGAGAACTCATCAATAACTACCCCAACTTTGCACCACCCCCATGGCGGGATAGCTGTGAAGCATGAGATGTGCCCACTGGATTAAGCCCCAGTTGCCCACAGTGGTAACCTGCTCATTGATGTGCCCTATATCGACTTCATTCCCTTGATTGTACCACTTCCCCATTCTCCCACCCAAACTCCCTGGGATTGCCTCCCAAACAAACTACTTGTGCCTGACTTCTTATCTCTGAGTCTGCTTCTGAGACAACCCAAGTCAACAATATTCAACTGAACATCCTGCAAATAATCACTTCTCACACGTCCACCACCACCGCCCTTGTCTAAGAGTCCAAGGTACCATCATGTGTTGCCTGGAGTACTGCCACAACTTTCTAGCAGATCTCTCTGCTTCCTCCATGGCCCTCCCAGAGCCTGTGTTCCATACATGAGCCAGATTGTACTTTGAAATACATGAATCAGATCAGATGATTCCCCTGCCCAAAACCCTCTGATGATTTTTCATCATACTTAGAATAATGCCCAATTAATTAACCAGTAATAGCAATGCCTTATATAATCTGGACTCCCCCATCCACTCTAGATACTACCATCACTACTTCTCCCCTCTTCACATCACTCCAGTCCTTGAATATGGTCATTTGGTTGCTGCCTGACCATCTTTGCACCTGCTGTTCCCTCTGCCTGAAAAGCACTTTCTACTTTTCTTGGTGTGACTGGCTCTTTCATATTAAGGAATTACAGTATCTATCATTAATGAAGTCCCCCTTATCTGCAGTTTTGCTTTTCATGGTTTCAGTTACCCAAGGTTAATTGCAGTAAAAAAAATTAAGATATTTAGAGAGAGAGAGAAAGACTGCATTTACATAACTTATAGTATATTGTTGTCATTCTATTGTTGTTCTTAATCTCTTGCTATGCCTATTTTATAAACTGAACTTTATCACAGGTATGTATGTATAAGAAAAAACATAGTATATATAGGGTTCGGTAATATCCGTGGTTTCAGGAGTCCCCACTGGGGGGTCTAGGAACAAATCCTCCAAGAATAAGTGAGGACTACTGTAACTTAAATGTTACCTTCTTGGAGAAGCCCTCCCAGAGTGTATAATCTGAAATAATTCTCATTCCTCATCACTATCCCTTTATCCTGCTTTATTTTCATCATAGCATTTTTCATATCTAAAATTACACATTTACTTTTTCATTTGCTACATTTCCTAGTTGACTGGAAGCTCAAGGAGAACTTGTCTGTTTCTCTGTATCCCTAGTACCTAAAACAGTGCCCAGCCCATGTTAGGGGCTCAATAAGTATCTATTGAGTGTATGAATGAATAATTCAATGAATGGACAAGCGATTCTCCTACTGGGCTAGATTGTGAACTCATGACACAGAAGACATCAATAACATTTGAAACAATGAACAAGAGAATTGGTCCATGGAAAGACCAAAATCTACGTCCTCCCCAGGCCCTATCCAAGGACATCTAGCCCTTTCCACTAGGAGTCCCATCGCACTGGGTCTCACTTCCCCCTGTTGGTTCATCTCCACTTCCATAAAGCTCCTATCTCAGGCCACTCTAACCACTCTGTCCTTGCCTTTTAGGCCTTACCAGAGGGGCAGACAGCTTCGTGGGACACAGCCAAGGAGGATGAAAACCGCAATAAGAATCGATATGGGAACATCATATCCTGTAGGTGCCCTTCTGGGAGCTCCTAAGATTCGGGTGTTGAGGACACAGGGGAAAAGAGGCTATTACTATTATTTACCTGGAATTTGTTATCAAATAATCTTTGATGTCTCTAGCTTTGTATCCACATGCCAAGATGGAAGCTTTATTTCAGCCTTATTGTCATCCCTAGACTGGATGACAGAGCATGGCTGATCTCAGCCGGAGGGAGCAGGCAGGGAGCTGGGTCAGGGCACAGCAGAACCATGAAGCCTCTTGGGGTAGAACCTCTGAAGGCTGGGTCTCACCGAGCATTGCCTGCTCAATTCCTCAGGTCGGGGAGGAAGCCCAGCCAAAAGGGCTGGCATGCAGAAGACCCCACAGCTGGACAAAGAGATGAGCTCTGTGTTCCCAGAAGCTCCTCTAATTCAAAGGAGGACTTTGGCAGCAACCTGGGGTGAGGAGCATGGGCCCCAGCCTGTGAGGGAGGGGCCGAAGCACCTGGGCAAGAGAATGGTGCTCCTCCAAGAAGGTGGAGTCACATTGGCTGATGCTCAGAAGTAAAGGCTGATGCTCAGAAGAAGCCAGTAACTCGGGCATACACCTGGGGCTTGGGGTATGCCCAGCTCAGGCCCCACAGGAGCCCGGGGCTACTCCTATCATACAAGAGACAGAGTTTAAGGCAACACAGATTCTACCTGACCCCACTATAGCAGGGCAGGGGCTCCGAGGTGAGGGCCTGCCCTCAGGTCTGCATCAGTGCAACTCGGGAGGTGCTGAGCCTGTAGGGGAAAGCACGTTCTTATGCAGGGCTAAGGAAGGACATTGCCTGTGCTCAGCAATGAGATTTACCTTTCCTGTAGGCAACCCCAGTGAGTGACTCATTGATGAAGTCAGCGGTGCAGAGTAGTTAGTGTCCTCTGGAGTCAAACTGCCCAGGTTTCTATCCCAACTGTAGGGCCCGGGGAAAGTTACCTGACCTCTGTAAACTTTCGTTTCCTCCCCTTTAAAATGATGAAGATAATAGGAGGAGCATTTAAAGGCACATAAAACTCTTGCTGCAGTGCCTGGCACCATGACTCTTACCCATAGGGTTACTTTCTTGAGGTCACTGATGAGCAGCATGGATCTATCATTCCACCTTATTTTATTAACCAGGATTCACTGAGTACTCAGGACATGTCCTGTGGGGACATGGAATAAGGCAGGTTTGTGGGGGAGAGGTGGGCATGATCAGATGTCCATTTTGGAAAGATCACTAGGGCAGCAGATATGGAAGGTGTACTTCATTGGGAAAGGCTGGTAGCAGAGGGATCAGTCAGCAGACTACTGCAAGAGTCTCACCAAGGGATAATGGGGCCTGAACAATGACAATAACTTGTGTGTGACAGGTGCATGGTATTCAGTTCTGGGGGGTGAGGAAGAGACAGACTGCCACAGAACTGAATGTCATGCATAGGTAACACACAAGTATTGTCACTGCCAAACATTGGTAGGTACAGCCTTCAAAGTAACATAAATACAGAGAAGACAAAGGTATCTCGTACAAAATGCTAAGCATGTATTCTAATTAGAACAGGAGTCTACAACAGCCTTTGTCTGACTCAGTGTAACCAACCTGGACCTTTTGACATCTCACCAATGGTGTGAGGAGCATCCCTTGGTCTCAGCTCAGAGTAATCCAGTTCATCCAAAAGGAAAAAAAAAAAAAAAAAGGATCCTGAATGACAAATTATTTCTAGCACAATTCAGAGTTTTGTTTTGTTTTGTTTTGTTTTAACTGTCTAGACATTGCCTAAGAAAAAACTTGGAGGAAGAAAGAGTAAGATACAGGCAGATTGTAAAGGAAGAAAAAGGCAGAAGTTTTAGCTTAGCTGTTTCCTGTGCTGATTTAGGAATGGGCTATGAATGGTAGAACTAATCAGAAAACATTTATAATTTTTCTCTTGGAAGATGGTAATTCAGACAGCAAGATTTCTTGCAAGTGAAGTGTTGAGAACTGATATTCAAACAGTCAGCAAACATGTATTAAGACTTATGACATGTGGGCCTTCTCTAAGCAGACCCTGTGATGGGTCCTGGGAGGTGGAGCTCCTGCTCCTGGGGAACCCCCACTCCGCCACAGGGAGCTGCTTGCCCTGTCTGGTCCCCAGCATTCTCTGCTCCTGCACTGTGGATACTGTACCCTAAAATATATAGTCACTTATCTCCCTGTTAGGCTGTGAGTTCAGACAGGGTCCATACATTGTAAGTTATGTGATCTTAGTCCAACACTCTAACCTTTATTCTCTGCAAAACAGGTTTAAAAATGTCTTTCTCCTAGAGATGTGGCACAGATAAGGAAATAATGACAGCCGGGTGTGGTGGCTCATGCCTGTAATCTCAGCACTTTGGGAGGCCCAGGCAAGCAGATCCCTTGAGCTCAGGAGTTCAAGACCAGCCTAGGCAACATGGCTGAACCCCATCTCTACAAAAAGTACAAGACGTTAGCTGGGTGTGGGGATGCACGCCTGTGGTCCTGGCTACTCAGAGGGCTGAGGTGGGGGGATCGCTTGAGTCCAGGAGGTGAAGGCTGCAGTAAGCCATTATTGCACCACTGCATTCCAGCCTGAGTGACAGAGTGAGACTCTGCCTCAAAAAAGAAAAGGAAAAAGAAAAAGAAAGAGAGAAGGAAGGAAGGAAGGAGGGAAGGAGGGAAGGAGAAGGGGAAATGACTAGAGCACAGTGAAGGGACCCTGAATCCTTGAGAGACAAGGATACCCAGGCTGGGCTACCTATCTGACCTCAGGAATGAGGTCAGAAGGCATGCTCTATATCTCCCCTGGATTGCCACTGCAGCAGCCTGGCCCAGATCATCATCCGCTCTCACTTGGTGCTGCCCAACCTCCTTTCTGGTTACTCCACAGCTAATTTGGCCCCAACTTTTTGCCTGTCTGATCCCTGATAGAAGCCAGAAAAACTTCTTTGAAACATGAATTGGATGATGTCATTTTCCCACTAAAAACCCTTCAAATGATTTCCCTTCACTTTTCAGTTTTCCTTATGGAAAGGCCCTCAGCCGTCTTTTCAGTCTTATTTCACACGATACCCTCTCTATCACAGCCTCTCCCTTGAAGCCACATTGGCTTTCCTTCAGTTCCTTGAGCTCCCCATGCCCTTCTATGTCACGGGGCCTTTGCACATCCTGTTCTATTAAAGTTCTCTTCCTTCCTCTCTGTGACCTGTGAAGGTCCATGTATTCTTCAGATCTCAGCTCATTCATCCCTTGCTTAGGGAATTCTTCTGATCCTTCGAATATGTTCAGAGCCCCACTATTCACTCCTAGAGCACAATATATGTCTTCTTAGCCCTTGTCATGACTGGCTTGACAGGCATTTGGAGGAATGTTGATGGCCATCTCCATCGCTAGAATAGATGCTCCATGACAGCAGGACCACGACTCCCTTCCACTTTGGTTTCCCCAAACCTGGCCTATGGTTGGTGCCCAGTAAATAGGAACTGAATGTGGGAGAGTCTCTGAAGGGCATGAGCAGTGGTCTCTTCTCTCTGCTTCCCAACTATGATAGAGAACATCCAGAAAGGAGGGGTGAAGAAAGCTGGGCCCAGTGGCACTTGGAACAATGATATTCCAGTAAGGAAGAAGATATTGAGCCTGAATGAAGGCAGTGGCAAGATGGGACACAAGAAAGAGAAGGACGAGAACAATCTAACCCTTCTGCAAGCTGCTTCTGAGAAGGCAGGATCCAGGAAGTCAGGAAAAATGAAGGCAATGAGAACTCCAGCGCTGGGACTGCAGAAGATGCCATCAGTGTCCCACCTACTTCCCACGGCCTCACTGTGAGCAGCACGCAGCTGGTAGGGTGGGTGTGCAGGGCCAGGATGAGGGTGAAACATGCAGGGAGATGCCCACGCTCAGCTGTTGACCCTGCATGGGCACAATTCTGGGAGCAAGCTCTATGGCTGAGGCTCTGAGCTTGTTTCACCCTAGCCCTGCCCTGCCTGCATCTCTTAGACTGAGGACTTTCTCCAAAGCTGAGAAAGGATCCCCTGCCCAGACACAGGCAGCCTGCAAATCCTGAAGGGTTAATAACCCCAGGAGAAGCCCTCCACCATGAAATACCCCAGCTTCTTCACCGTTCCCCTGAAGTTCCTTCCGGAGTTCCCGTAGGGATGAGGATGAGCTACCTGCAATCCTAATGGGCTTGAAAACTCACCCTTAATAAGCTGCTTTTTCTTCCCTGTCATACAGCCCCCCTTTCCTACTGGTATTCCTGTCTCCTCCTACATAAACTGCTTGGACTAAAATCTCTGTCTTAGATCTACTTCTGAGAAACCCAAATGGAGACAGAGAGAATTGAAGCACCTTGACGATACCACCTTGATGGGTTTAAATAAACCAGAATCTCCTTTCTAATTTAAGAGTCAATCATTCTGCAAGAGATCAGGGCCAGAGCAGGTCTGCATTCAGTGCTGAAAGGAGACAGTTCTGAGGTAACCAGTGAATTCAGAAAGCAGCGCAAGACATAAAGGGGAATCAAGAAAAAAAGAGAAATGGAAAAAAACAAAACAAAACAAAAAAAAACCCCTGGAATTGAAATGGGATATGTAAAAAAGAAACAGCCCTGAGGAATGGAAAGTGTTCCTGCCCTTGTATGTGTCCCTCCCAAAGGCAAAGCCTGCTGCAGCTTGATAAATAGAAATATTCTTGGCGCAAGAAGAAAACTGGCTGTGATTAGCATCTTAAGGAACCCAGAGCACTGCGAGGCTGGAGTGGAGGACAAAGGCCCAGGCCAGGGAGAACAGAAAAGATTAAAGGGGACAAGTAGGAGGGAGGGCACTGCCTACAAATGAAACAATGAGAGACCTTGACAAAATATCCCCTTTCTTCCAAGTGATTCTATTTAGAATTTAGTAATAGAGACAGTGGGGTTTCTAAGGAGTGGACATGGAAAGGAAGTGAAAGGGAAGGAAATGAATGGGTAAAATAAGAACAAAGAGTCCTTTGCTTCCAAGTAACTCTAGGGCAGAGACTATTGGCAAGGGGAAATTCAGGAATCCCAAAGCATTCTCCATGTAAAGTTTTAGAGGTGCTTCCTAGACTGACAGGAAGGAGCTGACACTGAGAAGCCGAAGTGATCACAGAGGTTGCAAATGTCACAAAATTAGGCCCCCTTCTGGGATCAGTTGTTTATAAAAGTATAATCTAGATGTAGAAAGACTACAAGGGATAGTGCAGTACCTTGGGACTAAATTCCATCCTCAGACCACGAAGGATTCGGTAGGGAGGGGTTACCAGGACCCAAAGAGAGATGACCTGACCAGAGGTGGGTGCGACCTTTAGGTGGCAAGGCAGCCATGGTGACCCCACCCAGGGGTGCTGGAGGAGTAAGTACCTCCATCACGCTCTCCTCCCTCCACCCAATCTTCTGCCTGTGCTTTCCATTGGCTGGACCCAAC